CGTCGACTCTTTCTTTTGAGAGACAATAACTTCATACACGGTGCACTTTCAGATTTAAAACTTTGCAGGATGTTTTCATTCACTTAGAGCTGTGTTACACACTGCATGAAAGGTCATTTTCAAAAATCCATAATAGGGTCACTTTAAAACAGAACAGACATGCTTTTTAGTCTGGGACTAGGCTTAAGTCATATCTGTGAAACCGGAGAATAGTTATATAGTTTAGAATATTGTCTAAGTTGTTTTGTTTTGGAGAAAAAGTAATAGTAATAAGCTACTTGTAGTAACACTACATTTCAAAGGTTTGGAGTTGGTACCAAGTCTCCTATGCTCACCAAGGCTGTCTTTATGTAATGCTTCCTTGCTACATAAAAGTGTTAATTTCTGAGAAACTTTGTGACGGTGACATTGTGATCTGTGGAGAATGTCATAAAAGCTGAAATTAGAGTGAACATTGTTCAGATGTGCTTTTTCCGCTAATCTATGTTTGCAGGAGAAAAAGAGGAGGAGAGCAGAAAACCTGAGAAGACGAGCAGAAAATGAGAGGAAAGCGGAGATTGTGCAAGTGGTAAATGCAGAATGTCATTTTGCACCAAAAATTCAGTTGTTACTAACACTTTTGATCTGTCGAATTCTTATTTAAATAACTCATTACTGCTTTGCCTCTTTCAGATTAAGAATACAGCAAAGATCAAGAGAATGAAGAAGAAACAGCTGAGGAAGATTGAGAAAAGAGACACGCTCTCAGCGGTGCAGAAAACACCAGCCAGTGTCAAGAAGGGTGCAGGGAAAACAAACAGCAGCTTGTAGAGATGTGAGAGAATCTCATCAAACATTAACACGCTGTTGTTGATATAAATGTGTAGTGCCTGTTGAATGAACTGGCATGTGAACCTCACAAAGGAAAATACTAGGGACGTGTAATCATTTTGGATCTGTGACTAAGTTGACTGCTTGGGTTGTGAATCTGCTTTAGGTCTCTGGATTTGATGTAATATTTGTACAGCAAATTAAAAAGCAAATATGTTTTGAATTCGTGGATAAAACCTGTCACCTATTACATTTTTTTGTATGTGATTGTCACATTAAATAAATGTTTATAGATCAATCAGTCAATTTCTTCCTGGTTCATGCATGTTAAATTGTTTTCTTTTTGTTATTGTTTTATTGTATGATATAAAGAGGTTTCATTTTCAATATTATTTTGGGACTTTCCACTCATGGTTTGATGTTTTTCATCTAGTTGAGATGCTTGCACTTTCAGTGTCTTGGGTACTTTTCACACGGTGAGGTGGAGTGATTGGTACTTTTCAGTCCCAAACAATACTATATATACTATAACTACAGTCCTAAAAGGCAAAAATATAATGTTCCGATTCAGAAGTGGTGATTTAAAGTTGTACTCTTAAAATAAAATGAAATAAATAATAAACAAGCAAGAGGGAAATAAAAACATGACTTGTCAGGGTATTTTTTTTGTAACCATTTCCGTCAGATGTCCCTCCATTGAAAGCTTTTCATAGTTCGTAATTTATCTCCAGTGGCCTGAGGTGAACTAGGCAAAAGGAATCAACCAAGTTGTATGAGGTGATTGTAGGGGGTGGAGTCTGTGGCAAAAAAAAATAGATAGGTACTTTCCATGTTTTTTGCCTATAAAAGCAAAGAGAGCACAACAAACACCAAGAAACACTGAAGACCAGAAAGATATCCTGTGTTAGACAGCATGGCTACAACTGTTTATGCAGCATTGGTAAGATTATTTTACATCCATTTTAAAGGAGACAATCATTTAACAATATATTTTACATAAGACTTGTGACAAAGTGCTCCATTCACAAATGTCTTGGTTCTCTTTCAGGCTCGATACCATCAGCTTGGAGCTGAACCCAGGAAATGCGTCAAAGGAGACCCCAAAGACACTGTGCCTGTTCCCTTCCACGAGCCGCTGGAAAACGCCACCCACGCTGTTCTCCAGGTTCAAGGGCCAGTTTCACCAGGTCCTAAACGCTTTCCTGTGAATGTCTTCAATGGCTCTAATGGCATGACGATTCCTGTGACTGTGAGGAGCACCGATACCATCGGGAAAATGCAGCAGAAGGTCTTGAAGCTCAGACCAGTCCTTGGAGCAAACCTGAATCTGGTCTACAATGGCAAACCGGTTCAGCTGTGCCAGACACTGTCCGAGCTTCAGGTGAAGCCAGGAGCCACGTTCATCACCTACCAGAAATGCCAAGGAGGTTAACAGGGACGTAGATGTATTTTGTCATTACGCTCAATGATAAATCATACTGTATCATAATGTGTTTTAAATACAAACGTTTGCTAAATCATCTATTACCGTTAGCTAGTTTGATGAGTCATTTATCAGGATACACATAACTCGAATTAATCATCAGTAATGCAACAAGCCATTGATGCAAATGAAAACAAATTAAACAACGAACGTTATTTTCTCTGCAAGAAAACATGAATAGAAATGTTACTTTGTTTAGATAAGTGTTTTTTTTTTTTTTATCTGATGGAACAAAGATGTATTTTTAGGTTGGTTTGTTTAAAAAACTAAATGAAAGGATATTTTTAGGGATTATTCACAACAAAACCTTTTCGTTTTCAGTTTTAATCGGAACACTTCGAGACATCATCTGTAACGTCTGCAAACAACATAAAACGGAAGTAGTAGAAATAACAGAACTTAGAAGAGGAAACTGTCTAGCATATCTTTTGTAAACCAGGCAACATTTTGTCATTTGCAACCTCGTAACATGTACAAACAGATGTTTTTAAAGAAATTTCCTAAATGAATATGTTAATGGTAGCATTAAACTTTTAGATTATAATGTTTTTAAAAAGACTGTAACTGTGAATTGCACTACATGTAAATTTGACTCCTGTTTCAATGAAAATAAATGCAATAATCTGAAACCTCTAGTATTAAATGCTATTTTGTATTCTTTTATAATTCAGTACGATTTAAATGTTATTTAAATGGATAGTTATGATATCCATCACTTGAAAATCTGCATTGAAGCATACAAATGAACTCCAGAATTTCTTTATTGAATTTGTCTGCTGTAATGACAGCAGCACTTGGAGCTACATGAACAAAACCTGATAATGATGTTCTCCAGCATGATCTGGGATATGAAGATCATGAGCTTCAATAGAAGCAAGAATATCTGACCGTCTGTACAAAGAGTCACATGATCAGGCTCACAAAGAAATAGAGCAGAATGTAAAATATGTCTTCATTTTACACCATTTCTTTGTTTGCATTTATATAGCCAATATAGTGGTTGTTTTAACACTCAATTACAGTTTTTAAAAATTGCTTAGACACTAAAAGTGGTACTTCAGGCCCACTCAGTGAAACCATTCACTCATATATCTAATCTTTAGTCCAAGTCTGCAAAACTATAAGCACACTACGTGCTTTAAACTTAAGTTTGCTATTATAAAACAAACTTTTGCAAAACATAGTACTCTACATTACACACATCATTCAAAACTAACAGCTCTTTTTTTAATTTGTGAAACACTGCCATTTAAATGCCACTCATTTACTGATGACCTACACCCAGTGATCATATGTGAAAACACTTATACAACATTTGTTCACTTAGAAATCAAAACTCAGTGTTTTGAGAAAGAAATTATGTTTACCTCCTTGCATTTCTGTTTACATTGTATATATATGTATATTTGATTATATACTGTGTGTATATATGTACAGTACACACACACACACACACACTGAATATGCATAAAAGCCAAGTCATAAAGTCAACTTTATTTCTAAAGCGCTTTATACAAAACAGATGACAGCTCTAACAAGTCAATACTGTCATTTTACAGCTCAAGTCAGTTCAGCATTGATCAGTTCAGTTGCATAACGGTGTAAAATTCATCAGTTGTACATACATACTGTATATACAGTGTATATGTGCATATTCAAGTTCAAGTTTGCTTTATTGTCAATTTTTCCACATGTACAGCACATACATACAGAGAATTGAAATTGCGTTACTCTCAGACCCTTGGTGCATACAGATAACACTAACAGTAGAACATAAAATACAGATAGATACAGATTAAATATAAAATAAAATACAACTATACGTGTATAATACAACATATGCATGTATGTGCAAGTGCTATGACAAACTCATGTGCACTATACTGCACTCTGAACAAGCAAAAGACACATGAGAGTAGTGTTTTACATTTTTCACACCTGTGTGTAGTTTGGCGTGTATGTGGCTAATTATTTTATGTTTGTGTATACAGTTACTACACAAAAATACAATTTTTAGAAGAGTTAAGTTCTGAATGAAGTGTTTGCTTTTGCAAGATACGTGTGACGTTTTGCATGTTGTGTGTGTGTGTGTGTGTGTGTGTTTTGTGGTTTGGTGTGCAGAGTTTTGAGAAATGGAGCCATAGTTTAAAAAAACCGTGCAAGCATTTAAAAAAAAAAACAACAACTGTAAATTGGACAGGCCTGTTTTCTCATTATGAGTTTATTAATGGTAGAATTATTTTTGACATAAAATGTCTTATACTGAAAGATGGAAGGTAGACAGAGTCTGTGCAATTACAATTGCCCCTTCTCTTCCCTGACAACAGTTAGCAGGGCCATGGACTCTGCACAAAGGTAAAATAGTAATCTAAAGAAAACGAAGTTCTTCTATCATATATAGGTTTGATTCTTTGACTTAAAACTTAATGTATCGTGTTTCCATCACCACATATAGCACATAAATCAACTACCACTGCTTAAAATGAAAATGAAATAAAACAATAGTTGTTTTGGACTGCAGATAAAGTACGGTGATTCCCATATCTGAATGCTCTCACAATGTTGTGGTAGTTCGGTATTCGTGTGCAGTTCTTGTAAATCTCATGTTTGATGAAAATCAGCCAGGCAAGGTTGGGCATGTTTACTAGTGCCACAACACACAGAACGTCAGGTACATTCCCAAAATGTCTCTTTGACTATATAAATTGAAGGATCTTTGTACAGTAACAGAACATAAGTTTGGATTGTGAATGCTTGGCAGCTCAAGGCAGCATGGCTACAGAAGTTTATACAGCACTGGTAAGATGATTTCAAATACATTTTAATAAGAACAGTATAGTGCAGGGGTCTTCAAAGTTTTTCCCAGATACAAAACGTGTCAAACAGAGATACATATTAAGCCTAATAGAAACTAACCATGTTATGATTAAGAATAAATTAGGCTATATTATGTTGCATGTATGTTAAGACAGCAGATCAGAACTATGCACATTATTGTTGTTGCACATGCATCACTGCCTTTATGTTAAAATGCATCATTACAAACAAAATGTCAGATAAAAATCAGGAATTATTAGTTGTATGCAGTTTTTTTGTAAATTATTTTAATGGATTTGCAGAGTCATACATTTTAATTTTACTAGTCAGGTGGACATTTACAGTTACCTGAACTGTTTATTAAAAATGCACATTTTAATTTTACTGTCAGATGGACAAATACACATTTTGTTAAACTTTAGCTTCAAGTTTACTACAAATTAACATTTTAATTTTACTGTGAGAAGGACAATTAAGAATCAAATCACTAAGTGAGGGTTTTCTAATAAAGTGCAGATAAAATGTGTAAACAAGGACTCACTGTTTATTAAAAATGCACATTTTAATTTTACTGTCAGATGGACAAATACACATTTTGTTAAACTTTAGCTTCAAGTTTACTACAAATTAACATTTTAATTTTACTGTGAGATGGACAATTAAGAATCAAATCACTAAGTGAGGGTTTTCTAATAAAGTGCAAATAAAATGTGTAAACAAGGACTCCAGCATGACAAGAACAGCAATGTAGTGAGACATTTATGACTATTTACAAGGCATTACTTTTACAAAAAAATTGGAATGAAATTGAAAAATATGTTGATACGAATATTTTTCTAGTAATCTATTATTTATAGTTGTCTGCACGGCATAATGGATCTCTTACTTACATCGTGTCGTTGTTTGTTAATGAGAGAGGATTCGCGAGAGCGAACATAATTCAACACTGAATAAAAACTGAACACGTTTTGAGTGGTGAGCGGATTCTACCTTAAACACCTCTGATTGGT